AATATGTAATTCCAGCCCCATTCCATTCCAGGCAAAATGTGCTACATTCCATTCCCATTGCATTTCTCCAAGTATTGTCCCCATTCCATTCCACGGTTGCCAAAATGTGGAATGATTCCAGAATCATTCCAATTCTGGAGTGGCTGTAAACACTGCTGTGAAGGCAGTGCTGCTTCTCAGCAAGCTACTTCTTTCACCTTGTAAGCAGCACAGAATAGAGCGGGGATGGAAATAATATACACAGGGGCGCAACAGCCGAAATTGAATTTGGAATAATTTTCAGAGCAGAAAAATGGTACTTTTGGAGCACTAAAGTGCAAGTTTGGAGCAGGTTACAAGGAAAAAGAATTGATTTTTTATCACAAAAAACCGAATTTGGAGCAGTATAAAAAAGAGCGCTTACATTTTAAAAAAAGGACGTACAAACTATTCAATATCTCCTACACCATGCAGAGTGCATGAGCGCTGCTATTTCATAAGCATTGTACTTTGAACCATCCCACTGCGCTAATAATGATGAAGTCCACATTAGCATCTGCCATGCCTGTCAAATCCTTTGACACACACTGGGGATTCAAATGTAGATCTGCCAAGCTGGCAACTTTGAGATTAGAAAAATTCATAAATATGAGTATGGGTAGCGAAATCTAAAAAGTGCACATAGTTTTGATTTTCGAGGACTGCAAAAATATGCAGGGCTCCAAATGATTACCAGTAAATTTTTTTTTAGACATCAGCGATCATCCTAGCACTCACAATCATGTGGCGTACACTTGCATGAGTAATTGAACAAAGTGTGCTGTGTCCCTTGGCTAATGTTAACAGCCTATTCCGAATCTTGAAAAGCTTTTCTGCAGGCCACCGGTGTAGTGCGGCGAAGGTGGTTTAAGTGGCGTTCTGCACAAGTTAGAACAAGGCCAAGAAATTTTCGAACCGCTACATCTGCCCTCCTCCCCGTTCTTTTACATTGGGTTCAAATTTAGGATGCCCTTCCAGCTTTAGTTTCGAACATGCCATAGCTGCGTGTGCTGACAAAAAAATTCATACTTCCCGCGAAATGTTACTGGCTACGGCAACGAATTTCTGTCGTGAAGCTGTGTACTCTTGCAGATCGATTTTTACTGCAGTCAGCAGACCAATGGGCGTGCGCTGTTGTTACTTTGCCTGGCTGATCCCGTTTCGCAAATGTCTTGGCTTAATCAGTATCTTACGCCGTGATTTAGGGTTATGGTCAGCGTGCCTGAACCGCTTGATTAATTGACGAGGCAAAATACAGGTGGCCAATGTGGCCTCCATTTCTCCCTGAAATTCGTGCAATTCACAAAATTTTGAGGCCGCTCAGTCATTTTTGTGCAGTGTGGCACAATTTCAGCAAATTTCATGGTTTTGGCACAGCTCATCCTACAAATCAGGAATTGCATGAAATTGGCACAAATGGGGCAACTGTCGCACCCCCGTATAAATACTCTAAGTTTGAACAATAATTAGGGTGCACCTAAAGCCATCAGACTACTATCTACAAGCAAACAGATCTCCTCTATAATCCAGCTTCAAGGCTCTGCCGCTAGGCTGCACAACATACCAGTATTTTGCAACTTTTAAACAGAATTTGAAAAGATAAATCTTACTCGGCAGGAATACTGTTCACAGATGCCAACATGTCTGTTCCCGAGCTCTTGAAATAATTATCGAGAATATGTCATCTTATAATGCTGCTATAGCTTACTGGCACGTAATGCCCACTTTGTGGTATCGGTAATGCGGTTTAGGGCTATATCCTCACACAATGCTCACCAAAGTAGGCAAACAGAATTTATGGTAAATTCCATTGGAAAGCAGGAGCACTCAAAAGCACGCTGAAAGTGCTCTCTTCAGAGCCGGCATATTTCACTGGTCGAACAGATGCAGGAGCACTGTTATCCATTGGTACAGCAGCAACATTTTTGCTGCGCCGAGAGTAGTCGGGAGCAGTTTTGTAGAGCTCTTTCCTGAAAAGCGGAGTAGGTGCAGTATGACGAGTCACGTGGCCTTTGAACGTCACAGTCTCCGAATTTTTATTCAGCCGGCGAGTGCGGCGGCAACGGTAGCGACCATGTGTAGTTTTTGAACTCCCGTTTTTTACGGGTGGAGACGATGACAGCAGGACGTCTGCCTAATGCGGCATTGCATAAACATAGTATGTACAGCCGAGCCCGACTATATCGAACCCGTTTCAATCGAACTATACCGTATATCGAACAATTCCTAAACATGAGAAATTTACATTGAGAATATATAGCAAAAGTTACTGTTTTATCGAACCAAAATAGCAACGATAACTGATATATCAGACTCCATGTGCCTCAAAAGTGCCCCAGCAAGTTTGCTTTCCTTCGGGATGGCTAGGGAAATCGCCGGCGCCACCCTAGAAAAAGTTCATTAGACCCAGTTGTGCACGGGCGAACACCCTTCTGCAAGAAATTATCCTGGCCCGCTCACAGTGCTTACAGCCAATCAGAGGCCGTCGTGCTTTCTACAAGACGCGGAGGCGGTAGAAGTGAACGCCATTTTTTCTTTCTTTATGCTTGTGTGCCTGCAGCTGTGAATGATTCAGTGTGGTCTGTGCTGGTGGTGTTTCCTGTTGGTGCTCTGTAAACTGTATTGGCACGCTGTCGTCATGGCTTGCGCAAAGAGGCAGAATTTGCCGTTCGCCTCGAAACTCTGAATCATGAATCGAGTCGAGCGCGGTGAAAAGAAGTGCAACGTCACTGCCGCGTACAAAATTCCAAAGAGCACCTTGAGGCAGACATCAGGGCAAAGTCGGACAAAAGGCCAGGTGCCCGCAACGCCCGACGTGTGCGCACTGCTGTGTACGAAGATGCTGAAGCTGCCGTTTACAAGTGGTTTGCGAAAGTTTGGTCGCGAAGCATCTCGATGTCCAGCCCTATGATCGAGCAGAAAGCCAAGGACCTTGCTTTCCTGCTTGGCAGGAACAATTTCCAAGGCAGTTCAGGCTGGTTACAACGGTTCAAAGAATGGCATGTCATCGTTGGCAAAGCTGTTACAGATGAAAGCAGAGCGGCGAACCTGGACAGCGTAGACAAATGGCTCGAGAAAAACTGGCAAGATATCGCAGTAAGATATCAAGCCCAAGACATCTTCAATGCAGATGAAACTGCTCTATTTTGGCAAATGTTGCCAAACAAGACACTTGCGTGTTGTGGCGACAAGACAAGCGGCGGCAAGGCAAACAAAGCTCGTGTGTCCGTGCCGTTGGCAGCTAATTTAGACGGATCAAAAAAGCTTCGACTTCTGGTTACAGAGAAAAGCACGGCACCGCGGTGTTTTCGAAATGCGCTGTCGCTTCCAGTTACCTACCGAGCAAACTCAAAAGCGTGGATGACCGGGGAGCTTTTCAGCACATGGCTATCGTCGTGGAATGATGATTTGGTAGGCAAAAATCACAAGGTGTGCCTGCTCGTGGACAATTGTTCATCGCACCACTGCAGTACGACCTTCAGCAACATCGAGCTGCGTTTTTTGCCCCCGAACACTTCGTCTGTACTGCAACCACTGGATCAAGGCGTTATACGTGCAATGAAAGCTGGCTATGGGAAGCGCTTGGGGAGAAGCTGCTGCAGAATCTTCGTGTCGACAGGGAGCTTAAGATCGACTTGCTCGGAGCTATTTCTATGTTGAGCAGATTGTGGGCAGATGTCCCGAAGGAGACCATCCAGAACTGCTTTAGGCATGCCGGCTTCCGCATGCCTGGTGATGACACCCCAAATTCGATTGATATGTGGGGTTTAACGTCCCAAAACCACCTTATGATTATGAGAGACGCGACACCCCAAATTCCGACGACAGCACTGAAGACACCGCAGGTGTTTCCGCCGAAGTTTGGAACGAGCTGGCAGAGCTCCTGGGTGCTATCGACGGATTGACATTCGACGGGTTCGTCAGTGCGGACGATGATATCGCCATCATGGGTCAGCTGCAAGATGAGGACTACATTGCAGAAGTCGTGCCGACCACGAGCCAAAGCAACAGCAAAAAAGTAAATTGATGATGACCCGTTGCTTAAATCCTCTGCAGTGATTAGTCCACTTACGTTGGTCTGGCGCTATTGCATGAATGCGGAAGGTTGCGGCCTCAGCTGCTCCGACTCGTTGGACGAGGAGGCGTGTGTGCTGTCGCAGGAAAAGAAGTCGTTGACACAGACGAAACTCCGGGACTATTTTGTTCCACAGTAGGGTACGCAAGTAAGCCACCATAATAATTAAGTACTTTTCTTATAATTTATTGTTATGTGCCTTTGTGTCAAATCCTATACCGAGCCTATATAAAATTATGCCATATATCGAACTAATAAACGTTTTTTGGCAAGTTCAATACACCCAGGTTCGACTGTATTAGGATAATGAAGTACAAGTGACTGACCGATGATGACAGAGAATATGCAGGGGCTTGGAATGTTTCGATCACATGGTCTCCCCACTCGTCACTCTCTCACCTGCTCTCCGGAAGTGTGCTGCATTCCAGTGGCAGATCGAGTGGCCCCACTCTCAGTGCTCTGCCCCCCCCCCCCCCCCCCTCTTCTCACATCCCTGCCCTTATCCTCCTGTTCTCTTAATGGAATTCCCTATTAAACAGTAGGCTTTCGAGAACTGAAATTCGGGTGAGCTTTAACGATGCATTCATCAGCAGGTGGGGCAAAATACACACACAGGCGTGGAACGAAGAAATAAGACGAGCACTAACTTCAAAAATTTTCGGAAACTATGCCTTATTCCTTACTTGTGACTTTTGATTTTGCACTACCAGCTCAAGTAGGTTTTCATTTTTTGGTGCATTCCCCATCAGCACTGCATCATTTCACAACACCGAAATTCTCGCAAGAACAAACTTTCTTGCTTTATCTGCTGATTTAATGTTTTTAGGGTTTGTGTATGTGCCTTCCCTCTCATCAGACACTACTTTAAAACGTCACGTTTTTTCAGCATTTCCTGAAAAGCACCCACCGGGGAAGAGTAGACAATCTCCTCCCGCAGGAAGCGGTTATCACCGGCATTGGAATCAAAAAGGCCCCAGTCCATCTTGACATCCCAGGTGTAGGTGAAACAAGAGCTGACCACTGCCGACAGGATCCAAAGGATAAAGAATGGGTGGCTGCTTGATGACAGGTAGCTGTCTGCATGAAAGCACCAGAATGAGGGTGCCTAGTTAAAATCGGTTTTCAACCACAATAATAGCTCACACAAAGAGAAACTGTTCAAAGCCCACCGGAACAAACTAGGGAAGCTAGTTCTACACGTAAAGCAGAGAAATGCTGCTACACGTATTTCAACAAGGCCTTGGATTAAAAAATGCCTTATACAGGCTAATGCAGAGAAGCACTGAGTTAATTTATAACAACATCCTACTTAATTATAACAGAATCATGAGAAGATATCAAAGAAGAAAAGAAACATAAGAAAACAAGCATCATAAATGTGACATACTGTTTTTGTATTTCTTTATGTTGACCAAAACAGTTCGTTGTGAAGGTGTCACAGTCAATCCCATTTATGTATATAAATCTTGAAATCTCAATAATCTGAAATATAAATTATGCTGATCTGACGCTAAAACCATTGCACAACTCGGTTATCTAAAGACGTAAAAAAAAAAGGAATCTTCAGGTTCGCCAGTCCAAAGTAGTGTCAAGTGCCCAAAAATTAACATCCATATTTGTTGCGCAGAAATTCGGCATGTTGCTCACACTTTGACCTTTACTGAATTGATAGTACAGTTAAACTTAGACATACAAAATTGATAAGTTCCGGAAAAATGCGTTATAAAGAGCATTTTGCTATATGCAGGTTCGGTACAAAAATTTGGAAAATAAACGTGCAAAGTAATCAAAAGGGAGACTGAAGACAGAGCTAACCCAAAATATTTTACAGCAAAAAAAAACTGCATTATTATTGTGATAGCAATTATAGTGGACTCCCAATAAACGAAACTCGTTTAAACAAAAATGCCTAATTAACGGAATTAAATGGGCTCATATAACTGGATTTCTATGCATTGTGCAGTAAAAGTCATCGGTTAATCGAAACAGTGCTTATTGGTCACCTACGGTTATATGACACCAACTCCAAACACAGCAGGCTCGCTCTTGCCAAAGACTCGCTCATGCCAAAGCAGACTCGCTCATGCTAACCATGGCAAAACCTCGAAATCGAGACAAGCCAATCCAGTAGCCATTCTCACTTGTGGCTGTAGGAGTCAGGTCAGCGAGTCAATTGTGCGTTAGGCCTATTTGTGCGGCAAAGTGCGGTGGATCACAGTGTTATTTCAGCCTGATGGAAAGGAAGCGGCCGCACCATACACACTCGCTTGATAAAAAGCTACAAATTCTTCAGGAGCTCGATCGAAGCGGCCTGCCCAAGATGGAGGTGGCAAAAAAATACATCCCGAAATCGACGCTGTCGCAGATCTGGAAAGACAGAAACAGACTGAAGGCACTGTTAAGAACGGGACCTTTAAATCGAAACGGATGCAGACGACGCCTTATGAACAACTAGAAAAGTTCTTTTTCTCTGGTTCAAGCGTGCACAGAGTTCCAATTTGCCCATAAGCGGAATGATTCTCGAGCAGAAAGCTCGAGAGATCGCCATGCAAATGGGTGTTAAGAACTTTGTCCTAAGCGATGGATGGCTAAGCCCCTTCAAAACACACCATGGCCTAATCTTCAAATCAATCTCAAGTGAGAGTGGTGCAGTCAACAGGGACATTTGCACTGACTGGCAACAGGGGCGGTTCAAGGAAATTTTGATGAGCTTTGAGCCACGAGGAGTCTTCCCTGTCGACGAGATGGGTCTTTTTTATAAGGCGTTTCCATCAAAGACTCTCACCTTCAAAGGCGAAGCATGTAGTCGAGGAAAAGGCAGTAAAGATCGCATCACTGTGCTGGTGGGTGCAAACATGGCAGGAAATGAGAAATTGAAGTTGTTGGTAATAGGAAAATCAAGGCACTCGCGCTGTTTCAAAGGCGTTCGACACCTTCCTGTTGCGTACCATGGGAATGGAAAAGCGTGGATGGCCATGGCCATTTTCGAAAACTTTTTGAGAGGAAGACGCAAGATTTACGAGGCAAGGCAGGAAGATTGTCTTCATCGTGAATAATTGCCCAGCCCACGGTCATGTTCAAGTACTCCAAGCCATCACTCTGGAGTTCTTGCCAACCATTGCAACGACAGTGTTGTAGCCAATGGATCAAGGTGTTATTCAGAACATTAAAGTTCATTACCGCAGACAATTGCTCCATCAAATGCTGCGTGGAGCAGGCAGCGGGAAATGGTACAGCATAATTTATTGGCAGCCATCCACATTTTGGCTTGTGCCTGGGAGCAAGTGAAGGCAACAACAACAACAATACACAGATGCTTTCATCATGCTGGCTTTCAAGCGCAAGAAAGCAGTACTTGAAGAAGAAAGCCTTGCTGATGCCGGCATTGAGACAGTATTCAGTCAGGTCGTACCCTCTGCCCCTTTTAGGCTGCAGGACTATGAATCAATTGATAAAAATGTTCGTAGCAGTCGTAAAGAGACTGTCAAGGAAATTATTTCCGAAGTGCAAGATGAGGATCAACCTTCCAGCGAAGAATGTGATGACAATACAGCCAGTGCAGTGGTGCCACCAGACCGATCAACAGAAGAGGCTGTTGAACCTTTGCAGCGCTATTTTGAGCATGAGGCTTCTCCAGAATTTGTAGCTAGTTTGTCAGGCATGTAGGCATGGGTGCGTACCTTGTGAAAAAACAACTCAAGCTTGCCAAACAAACCACTCTTAACTTCTTTTTTTCTCCTACTCATCCTCATGAGTAAGGTGAGGTTTGTGCAATTTGAATAAAGGTCTTGATTCACTAAATAAGTGTACTTTGCTTAAATGAAACTTCTGATAAATGGAACAGTTTTATAGATTCCCTTCGAGTTCCGTTTAAGAGGAGTCGACTGTATATGGACACTCTCGACGGGTTTTTGCCATCCCCGCCATGTTCCGTAACAAGTCCCAATTGAAAACATGCCACCGTGCATTGTAACTTTCACGAGCAGCTAAATGCACGCGAGCGCTGCTGAAGCGGAGATCAAATCAGTCCGCCCATCCCTATCGTCTGGAAAGTGCATAACATCTCCAGCGTGTTAGAACTGCCATGGTTTGCTGAAACAGAAAGAAAACTACCCGTCTCGAACGAGCATGAAACAGTGGGGAGGGGGGGGGGGGGCATCGCTCAAGTAGTTACAATGAATTGCAACAGAATCGAAAGTTGGGCTAGTTGGATATGCATGGTATAACTGTCAGTTCAAGCGCACCAATAAACAGAAAGGAAGAGAGGACAAGCGCTTTCTCTTAACTAAACTGTTTATTAGAAAGGGAAGATTGTCCTCTCTTCCTTTCTGTTTATTCGTGCGCTTGAACTGACAGTTATACCATAGTAATAATGAACTTAGATTTTAAGGATAGTCACGATGACTGGGGCGCTTGCTGTCTCGGCGAGTATCAGTGCAGTTCCAACGTTAAGGGACTGTCTGAAAAGAGCACTTCTCCTTGGAGCGGCTGTATTTGCTCACACCATCGCTTTGTAGGAGTTCCGCGATATCGGATCTAAAAGAGTTGGCTGCCAGCCTCTCTTCTTACAACACTTCAATTTCTTGATGTCGCGTTCATCGCACTGCATTCAATGCACCGTCGTGTCGCCAAACTAATTGGCTAATCACGGAAGCTACCAGCCTGCAAACTCGCGGCGCGATGCAAGACGAAAGCGCGTGACGAGTCGACTTCTGAAGATTTGTGGTCACCATGGTCTCGGGAGAGTTTCCATCAGCGCCTAATCTGACAACCCCTCGGTGGTGACAACACGATTGTCCGAAATTAAGCGAAATCCCAGTTTCGCCGCAAGGGCGAAGCAATGAATGCGATATGCAACGACTTGGAATGTAATGCTGAGAACGGCAAGCATATTGACACGTGAAACACACTGCTCACACACAAATGACGCACAAAGACAACATACACAGGAGGAGAACAAACAACAATGTTTACCGCTCAACACTTAATGCGCTGTTTAAACAAAAACGAGACATGAAACGTAATCACAGGTACAGATATGAGTGCGAACTAACAAGTGCCCTAGTTGTTACTTTGCTGTGTTTGAAAAGCGCACTCTTTTCGCAAATGGCGCCTGTCCAGTGAGCGAAGTTATTTGTGTGCTCCCTGCAACAAAACACAATCATTTTGGTCACAGTCGAAGGTGTGCGATTCTCCCCACTGAAAAATAATTAATTGATATTGTTACGGGTAACTTATTTAATAAATTAAATATGATGCACCGTGCTCGGCAAACAACATGGCGACAGTTCATCAACAACCAGCCACCAACAATGTCTTTCTCTTTCTTGCAGCCAGGCTGTGCCGGCTGTTGTGTATCATAACCCCCCGGCGGTAGAAGCACCATCTCGGTGCTTGAGCAACTCGGATGCGGTAGGAGGAGGCTGATAAGGCTTGAGTCGAGCTATGTGCACGATGTCACTCGAAGGTGACGATGATGATGTTGAATCGGCTGGAACGATCTCGTATGTAACGTCATTTACCTGGCGAACGATGCGGTATGGTCCAGTGTAGCGTGACAGCAGTTTTTCAGAAAGCCCTACACTCCAAGTGGGGGACCAGAGGAGGACAAGGGAACCCGGTGAAAAGTGCACGTTTAGATGATGGGAATCATAGAGCTGTCTTTGGTGCTCCTGTGAGGCCTGCGGGCAAGTTGGCGTGCGTGGTCGGCTCGCGCGATGGCTTCGCCGGCATACTCAGTGACCGAGGGCAGCAAGGTGTCAAATGGTAGGGTGGGTTCTCGACCGTATAGAAGATAGAATGGTGAATAGCTGGCAATGTCGTGACGTGACGAATTATATGCGAACGTCATAAATGGCAAATGAACGTCCCAGTCCTGGTGGTCGGCCGCTACGTATTTAGAAAGCATGTCGATTATGGTGCGGTTGAGACGCTCTGTAAGACCGTTCGTTTGCGGATAGTACAAAGTGGCAAACTTGTGCTTGCAAGAGCAAAAGGGCAAGATTTCATCAACGACAGATGATAGGAACGTCCGGCCCCGGTCAGTGAGAAACTTGGCGACTGCCTACACAAGAGCG